TGCTGATGATACCCTTATCTCCATCAGGTAGATCTTCATAATGTACCGTAAGGATGTCGTCATTGTTGTGAACCGCCATGACGATTGTGGTGTCCCAGCGAGCGTGCCAGAAACGTGTGTTGACACGGAATTTCGTCCCGTGCCGAGAGCACACGAGCAAGCCGAAAGGGTCTGCTCAATGGAGCTGGAGATCCGCCTGGCTTCAGCGCAGGGATGGTCGATCTTGTGCACTCCTCCCGAGACATGCCAGTCAATTTGACCCTACAATTGACAAGGAGAGAAAGTTTATCAGTAATTAAGGGCGGAACATGTCGGTGTTGCCAGATAGTCCCGAATGTGCGGCTCTGAGAGCCAATATGAAAGGAGATCGACTAAATAGTCGATTCCAGCATATTCATAAGAATAAATCGGTTAAAGCTCATGGGGTTGTGCAAGAAGAATCGGTTATCATTCTGGATGAATATCATTGTTTAGACAAATATTGGTCACTAGCAAAAGGATATCAATAGTAATTAATCCATGCTAAGCCAATAACTACAAGTAACCGAACCCCTTTTGTATGAAAAAACAGCTCATCATCATTCAACCATTTAATATAGATAAATCTAATGAACATATTAGATCTCATCTATCGCTATGACCAGTGGGACATGAGGCAGAATCATGCAGGCCGTAGAAACAACAATAGACTCGATGACCCTAACTTATTACTAATATCAGTGGGACATGAGGCAGAATCATGCAGGCCGTAATACAATAATAAGATCATGGGCTAACACATCTTTCAACCTATCGCTACTTCAACGATCTCGTGATGCGAACTGTTCATGAAAGCGCTCGATATCGGCTAAAATAGCCGATTCAGACATAGCGCACAGTTAAGATCATGCCCTCTTAGAAACAAATCTACCAACTAACGATCCCCACTCCATGGTGCTAATAGTGGGGTGTGAGGCAGAATCACACAGGCCATGATAACGGGCCATGGAGCAGTTTTCGCTAGCCAATAAATCTACTTAAGATCAAACACGTCTTAACCGCACGCTATGCACGATCAAGATTGATATAAAACAGCCGATAAAGCATAACTCATCGTTTAAAGTGCAGATTAGATCAGTTTAGATTAACAAACGATGGGTTAAAAATGATATAAGGCTGATCTAAATCAATCCCAATCGGGCGAAGTGATATTGCTGTATTTAAATAAATAATAGAAGCAATAAGCAATATCGGTAGCTTAATGAATCTATCCGAAGGAACGCCACCCTTAGATAGAGACAATAACTTGACCTTAATCTAGTTCGAGCAGTGGAGATCGACCGGATCGATGCAGCCGTACTTGAACTAGATAAGAGTCGATAACTAACTCATACCAGAGTCGCAGTGGAGGTTGACCGGATCGATGTAGCCATACGAACAGAGGTATAAGCCACGACGGTACTTACAGACAAGTAGTGGAGGTCGACCGGATCGATGCAGCCGTACTTGCTGAAGAACTCGTCGAGATCTACTATACTCCTACTCCTAAGGGGTGGCCGAAGCCGAAAAAGTAAATAATTTGTATTTGATTGATTGTGTGCCTTACAATAGCTGGGGTGTGGTATTTATACCCGGGGCCTAAAAACAAATCCTACTCGAGTACGAGTCAGTATAATCTTTGGTACGAAGAAAACATTCCTATTTTAAGATAACTTGGACTCTAATCTTTCCCCTTTTGTAGAGTCTGATATGTATCTTCTCGATGCTAGTCATATCTCGTCATCGTTATCTGCTGACGTCATTCGGAGAGAACCGATCCTAGTATCGCATTCGACCCAGCAGATATCAATCCTTATTCAAACGACTCCTTGATTGGCACAATCTTGGAAGCCTGCAAGTTCCCGCGCTCTTCTCCCAAATTTTGGTGTAAACCCCCACATCTCCATTCCTATTTATTTCTATATATATATATATATATATATATATATATATATATATATAGTATTTCTATATTATAACACTGGGTACTGAATATTAATTAGTACCAGAGCCTCCCACCGCGCTGGCTCACCGTCCTCCGCAGACTCAGCGCGCCTACGCCGAGGGGTTTGGGGCGGCCTTACGGCTCAGCCACCCGGCCCGGCCTTTCGATGACCGCTCCCCAACCATTGCCCACGTTCACTGCGGTTCAATTCCAATCAGTCGATCCGGCGCCGCTTCCCGTTCTAATCTACTTTTCGAGTTGGTTTCAGCTGACCTCAAGCTCCCGCTGACGCCCTATATCGCACAACCCGCGCCTCCGCAGCTCGCGACACTTTGTGTCGCCGCCGCTCGCAGACGAGTAGCTCGCCGCGTCGCCCTTCGCCCGTCCGGCGTCCGCTCGGTTTCGCTCGAGCCGAGCTCACCGTCGCCTTCTTCAGTCCGGCGTCCGCTCGGCTTCACTGGAAGCGTGGGAAGAAGGGAAGCGGCACCGCTTTCTCTCCATCACCGGCACCTCCTTCCGACGCCGTTTCACCTGGAGCACGTGGTCAGCGGGGAAGCGGCGCCGTCTTCCCTCCATCGCGGCACCTCCTTCCGACGCCTCTCCCGCCGTTCCTCCCTCCAGCGCCGCCCGGTCAGAGAGGCAGCGCGCCCCGGTCGGACGTGCTCGGCTGGCCTTCTCCAGCGTCCCGCCCTGCCGTGTCGCCGCTCAGCGTTGTAAGAAGCAGTTCCTTTGCTATGCTGGCATCTCATTGTTTTCTAAAATGCAGTCAGCTGTACATTTTTAAGCTATACCATTGTGAGAAGAGTATTCAGATACATTAGTGCTTCCTTGATATGATCTTGTAAATTACAGGATAAACCAATAATTACCCCTATATCCGCCGTGCGCCCCCTCAGCGTGCTGCGGCGGCCGAGACGCAGCAGCGCCGCCCGCCGGGCCTTCTTGCCCGGCGTTCCCCAGCGTCCGCCGCGTCTCCGCTCAGGGCTGTGCGGCCACAGACGCGCATCGCGTCTCCCGTCCTGGCGTTCTCGGCCGGCTTGCCCCTGCCACCGTACCTGCCGCGCCGCTCCCCCGCGCTGTGCGTTCCCAGACTCATCGCTACCGGCCCTTGATTGCCGATTACACTCGTTGATTGCCGAGCTTGCATCATTTGGGATGGAGCCGCCTGGTCCCTCAGGTTTCCTTTATATCCTTATTCATGTATCTCGCTTTGTTGTTCCCATTAATTTTGTGTCAAATTGGTTTCACTATTAGATTCCCTGATATGGGTACTCTTTGTTAAAAAGGCAAGCACATTATGGAAGTATGAAACTATACACCATGCTTTGCTGCTCCGAAGTCATTGAAAACAATGTGTGTTTCAATATTAGAACTTTAGAAGATGATATTATATTCAACCTCAATCAATTACAGATATCCAGTTTTTAAGAAATAATATATTCTCCATAGTTGTGTTTAATCAGAATCACAGGTCCCTCAATTTCCATGTGAAATATTTTATTTACCATCATGAAGATGATATTATATTCAGCCTCAATCAATTACAGATATCCAGTCTTTAAGAAATAATATATTCTCCATACTTGTGTTTAATCAGAATCACAGGTCCCTCAATGTCCATGTGAAATATTTTATTTACCATCATGAACTAGTTGCTTCATTTGAAAAGAGTAACATATCATGTATTCGTAGTTCAACAAGTGCTCCCATCAGTATTCATGTGTTCAATACCTTGGAATTAATAAACACAATACAGTAAATCCACAAGAAACTGCACAGCAATACATCTACCCTGAGTTCAGACATTAGTCACAGCTGTCTACCTCCAGTGATCTTTACTAAATCAGTAAATCATCTGTCAAATGTACAGGCCCAGCTATCAAATTATGAATGTCTCTGAACGCTCTAATATCCTTTTACAGCGTGGGTTTAGGATAGAAACTCAGCCTCTTAGCCCCTTAATTGAAGAAGCTACAATGTCTCACCCCACACATTGTCTTATAGCATCTATAATTTGAACCCTTCAAATTTATTTCTGAGTACAATATATAACTGCAGTTGTAAGCATGAGGTAGAGGCACAAAAAACTTCCTATCGTTACAGTCTCACAAGTTAGATGGTCAAATACATGGATATGAACTTGACAAGATATTCTACCAGCGATCTTTATGTGGCATTCTAGAAATAGCAAGCAGGCTAGGCAGCTGACTTTTGGAAGTGTTTAGCTCTCAACATCAAGGTCTTCATTTTTATCAGTGCGGGTGTGCACTCAGCCCACCAGCCTGACTTGGTGCATCAGTAATCAGTTGCAAAGCATGTACCCACACCCTTTGAGACCTTAGATGCCTCTGATAAATTCGTATTGGGTTTAGGTGCACATGTACATGGGTGGTGATGGTACAGTGTTGTGTGTTTGCGCGCGCGTGTGTATGCCTCATACTCAATTAGTGTCTTAATAAAAAGAAGACATAAGACAGATTAAACCACACACATTGATTCAGCTTTGCATTGTTTTTATTTGTTCAGATCATACACGTATTTTTTATTTATGGCGTCATTATAGTTTAATAAAGCAATTCTATTTATTCTGCATTTGCAGACCCATGCTGGAAAAGGTCCTGATTCACATTGACTCAGCAGTTGCAACTACATTGTTCTGTGGAGTGAGCTTGTAAATTTAAGTTGTAGAGTATACGAATGCAGTATTCTAAATGCATTCTAAATCATTGACTTCAGAATCCGGTTGGAGCTAGTTGATAAGATGCCTGACAACCCAAAAAGGCTTGTATTTGAGAGCACTCAACAGCGGTCAGTACATGTTTTTTTTTTTAATTTTAGTGGCCTTTTCCATTTGTTGTATCTGCTTTTCTCTCAGTTAATGTGATAATTTCCCATTTAGGTATGAGGTCCCTTTGCCACAAGGCGAGAGGTTACCCTCCTCTCCTGGTAGAACATCTGCATCGGCTTCACGAAATAGAGGTGCAAAGGGGAATGGCTGTACTATAATTTTAATCTGTTGCAATATGGAGTTAGTATTTTACAAATGACTAGACAAAATTAGATACATTCATTTACAGCTTATCTAATCTTGTTTATGATTTTTTATTTATATTTATATGATCTGATGTATGTACACATAATTTGAGAATAATTTAATATTCATGGATTTTAAATTTTGCTATCTTAAATTTCCATTATTCTTTTGATTCCACTTCGGCTTGTCCTTTTGTTAATTAACACTTTTCATCTTGTTCTGAAAGCTCACAAGATTCTTCTATTCTTAAAATCATCTACCTTTGTTGTTTATTATTTTCCTTTTCTGGTCCTTTTGGTATTCAGATGCAAGTCATCCCCCTTCTAAGAACCCTGCGGTAGCACCTACTTCTCGTGACCACTCATAGGAGCATGAGGATCGTTAACTTAATACTACCAAAACAGTTTGAAATTGTTTTTCATTCTACCTTCAAGGTGTTTTCCACTTTTTTAAATAGTTTTACTTTACCTGTGATAATGCACCTAGTCCTATGTCTTCCCATGCATTTCTTGAAAGCTTGAAATACCCATTGGAATGTTTCTATTGTCTCATCGCCTAACAGCGCACATCCAAAATATGTGTTCTGTAGGTGATGGTTTGCACCCACAAACATAGCTAGTGGCTTCTCATATATATTTGTCTTGTGCGTGGTGTCGAATGTCATCACATCTCCAAAATCAATATATTCTGCCTGCATGCTAGCGTGACTCCAGAATAAGCTATGAATCATCCCTTCTTTATCGATCTTGACATACCAACAAAATTGTGGGTTCTGCGCCTTGCAGTCTTCAAAGAATTCTAGAAGCTTCGCAATGTCATTGGCATGTTCTGCCCTCACATTAGCCGCCTTCCTGAAAAATTTGTTACTATTACACAGATGTAATCGACAGTACCTATTTACTGGATGGTATAAGAGTTGGCACACACTGACCTGTTCTCAAGATCCCGCCTGGTCATTGGCACGTTCTCACCTCCCCCATGCATGTCCCTAACAATGTTCTGTATACTATGATGCGGGACATCCGCTGCTTGGAGGTCATCAACAAACTCAAGTAATACCGGATCCTTTTCCTTGTGTGATCTCATATTTATTATTTCTTCTTTCTTTTTAAGACATGGATGGTTATGCATTAGATCCACTTGCTCAATCACCACTGATATTTCATTCTTGTTTTCATCATAAATTCTTTTAAGCTTCATCTTCGACATGCAGTGTGTCTTCTTTGTGGTATTGTTCCTAACACGCAGCTCCTCATTTTTTTTTAAAGTAAGTATGAACCCCCTCATTGCTGCACTGTATAATATATGAATATGTTTTACTGTTTCCATAGCTCAAATTGAATCCAACCTCCTCGGCGTACGCTTCATAGAAAGCCCTGGCCTCTTTTCGGTTTCTGAATGACATCCCAGGCCTAGGAATGAGGGCAGGATCAATGTCTTCTTTCTGCATACAACATATGCAATTAGATATTTCCATTTTCCACCAAGAGGCAATGCAAAATTGCTCGAATTTTTATCTCAGTCAAAATAGATTACAGTGAATTTCAGCCTATATAAGACCTCAACATGTCTGGTTCCTCAATCTAAATATTGTAAGCATGCACATTACAGCTTATGTCAAGTTTGTACATTTACTTTTTTCATTATTTCTCAAGTCTGAATACTTCTCAGCTCTATTTTCTGAATCCCATCATCACAACTTTGATCATTTGGTAATTTTGAAACCTAATTTTATTTCATATTCACATAGCATAATCTTCGAACTTCTTATTCAAATGTCACAAACAAGCTACTCACATGTGTGTACTTCTTTTCGGCATCTGGTGTAGCGTTCTCGCTTTCTGTAACTATTGCCATTGGTGAGAACATGCCTCTGCTGGATGATGTTCCGGCTTCTGAAATGCCAGCCACAACATCCTCGTTACGGCCTGGTGTGCACGATGATGTTCCACCTTCTGAAATGCATGCCGGTAACCCATCGTGATCTTGTTCTGATCTTCCATCTGCCACAGCCACATTAGTTGTGTGCATTGTCTGCGATGCTGACGATTCAGTCACAACCCCTTTACAATTGCTCTTCTCTCCAAACAGCTGCTTCCGGCAACCCATTCTGATTTAATAACTTTACTGACTAGTGGCGAAGCTTCGATTCATTCAAATAATCATTAATCTGAGAAACATCACAGAAACATTTAAGGATTACTGCATAGCCATAAATAAAGGCTATGTGAAACATAAAACAAGCACACATTATTACTTCTGATCCCATCCACTACAAGTGAAGAAGTGAAGACATCACCCGCAGAAGCATTGCTCCACAAGATAAAATTCATCTCGTTCACTCAGCTTGTTTAATTTGGTCACAAATCGTGCCAGGTAGGTCATTAAAATGATGTACCAAAGAAATCTCAGCTTTCTATGAAGATGATCATGTATCATGAACAGTTAACACCAACTTTGGAACTACTAAACATCAATAATGTTTAACTTATAATTCATCTTGAAGTAACATCCAGTAACCATTCAAATATGATACGACTATAGGACCTTCAAGCTGACATAAATGGGAAATAAGTATGCAAGAATAATTCAGTAAGCCAAGGATACTTTATACATACTATAGAAAATCATGAAAGATAAACATAGTTACTGAATTAAAGTACATTCTTTTACTCATATAAATGGATCAACTGCAAGTCCGGAACCATCGTTACTGACTTGCAAAAACTCGATACAGAACAACAGCTATATGTGTTTACGTATAGCTGTTCGGAGCACCTGTATCCAATAATGGAACAGCAACAGAAAATGGCAGTAGTCCTACTACTGCAGAGGAAACACCTGCGCCTGAATTGGATTCATCAAGTAAAAGGAGTGCCCGTGAAGCAGTTACTCCCCTTGACCATATGACTTACATTGATCAGCTAGAACACAAAATACAATCGATGGCACAGATACTGAAGAATCTTGTAAGGCCGATTTTCATGTCCTTGTATTGTTCTAAACACTGATAAACAATGGCTTTACAGAAATTTCTAATCTCTCTTTTACTGTTCTAATCTAATGTAGACTCGCAATATACACGCGCCGCTTCTCGTGAGCTCGCGCGTTTCACGCGCCGCCGCCCGTCCGAGGTGCCCCCCAATAGTGGCCTCGTCGGTGCCGTGGCGGGGTGTCGCCGGTGTACGGGCTGCTCGGCGGTCTCTCCTCGCTCGTGGGACAGGGAACGCGGTCAGCGACGGTTCCGAACGTGGGACAGGGAACGCGGTCTTCATTCGTGCGTGCGGACAGGAGGTACTCAAGGGCCGATGCTTGGCTTCGGACTTCCGGGCCAGAAACACAGGCGTAAGTAGGCAACAGGCACGAAAAAAATATCAACGAGCATCGCTTAGGCGGGCCGCGGGCGATCGTGCGTCGTCTGCGGGCGTGGGGATGACCTCGGGTACTGAATAATAATCAGTACCCTGGGTGCTAACTAGCGCAGTCCTATATATATATATATATATATATATATATATATATATATATATATATATATATATATATATATAAGCAAAGAGGAGTGGTGGTTGTTGTCGTCGTCCCAGTGCTGGCACTACTGCAATCTGCAGCAGAGAGGATCAAATCCAAGCGAGGCGAATTGAAGGCGGCCAGCTAGCTCCGATGAGGTCCTGAATCGAGCAGAGCAGAGACTGCAGAGCAGAGGAGGGGATCCAGACCCGACGAGCGAAGAAAGAACGTCGTGCCTGAAGCTGCAGGTGCCATGTAGGAAGCATGCGGGAAGGAGGTACCTGAAAACCAATGTGCACTACGACCACCTCAGGACCTCAAGAAAGAATGGTTGATTGAGCATCTGATAAATGATGGATGTTGAGTCAGGAGGCAGTTAACTACAGCTATAGGGTCATTGAATGGTTGATTGAGCTTAGGATCAGAGAGTTGGAGAGAAGTTTAATGCCGTCGATGTTACAACACACATTCAAACTTAAAATTTTTGTGAAGTATTATGATGGATACAATATTTCCAGTTTAATTCGGCATACACAAGAGTTTACTTCAGTTTGATTTAATTTGTTTGGTGTGGAAAAGCACCAAATAAGTCCTTTTATAATTACATTGTTTCATACAAAATTTATATACAGTAGCAACGTGAGTGTCGATACCTTATCTTTGTTTAAATGAATAGATGCCTACCACATATATGATGTTGTAACAAAAAGAACCACGGCAAAGTTGAATTGAGCTTTTTTTTTTGTTAAAATACGGCATGCATATGCGATTGCTGATAAGTGATCCCCGTAGCAAGCTCATCTAGTTTACAAAAAAAAAAACCTTACCTGCACAGCACCGGGCGAGCAGGCGGCGGAGTGGCCGAGCAGCGGTGGCCGACGGCGCTGCGGTGAGAGAGAGAGAGAGCGAGCGTGAACGAGAGGGAATGAAGAAGCCGCGTTGGGTAGATATTTCGGGACCTATCGGCCAGCGGACAGCCGACGAGACCTATGGGCCATCGGATAGCCGACGAGACCTATCGTCCATCGGATAGCCGATATAATGTTATCGTCCCCCGCGCATCCGATAGGCTTATCAGTCCGATATGGCCCACTTTGCCGTATGAGCCAGCCCGCTCCGGAGCCTTGTCGGCTGCTGGACGGCCGATATAGATCTGTCGGCCCTCCAGAAGCCGTTAGCGATCTATCGGCCCTCCAGAAGCCGTTAGCGATCTGTCAGGACCGTCACTATGCTAACACGCGTCGTGTTACTACGGGTTATGGTGGAACCTAATTATCACATGAGTGATTTGATTTCAAAATTTGCTTTGGATTATATTATTTTAACGTACGCACGGCGCATTACCACATGCGGGCCACACTGCCACCATATGTATCTGAGTATGTCACAAAGCAGCAATACCCGTGCATATATATATACAACCAATTAATTAATGTTACGTTGAGACATCAACTAGAATGTTTTGGGGTCTCTCTAGAATTTTCTAGGATATATTTGTTTTTGAGTAAAATGCACCGGGGGTCCATTAATTTTTGTTGGGGTGTCATCTAGGTCCATCAACTTTGAAACTGCATTTTTGGGTCCATTAACTTTCGTTGGGTGTCATCTAGGTCCATCAACTTTGAAACTGCATTTTTGGTCTATGAACTTTTAAATGGTTCACTGCAGGTACAACGCATGCATGCATGCACGTCGGCTTCGGCCTCCGGTCTTTGCGACGGTGGAGCCATGCCTGCACTCGCCGTCGTCGCTTGTCTGCCGGGCGGAACAGGATCTTGACCCGGTGAACGTGACGGCGCAGGCAATCACGCCCCGCGCGAGCGCCCACATGAGCGGCTGCAGCCCCGCGCCGACGCGCGCGCCAGCGCGAACAACCCCACCGCGCTCCCATAGTCCACGGAACACTCGTCGTGGCTGGTCATGCGGATCACGGCCGTCTCCAGCTCGGGTCTCCTCGCTCCTCGGCTCCAGCTGCATGCCGGCGGGGAGAGAGACGAGAGACGAGAGACGACGACGGGACACGAGAGAGTGAGGCTGTTTTAGTTCGCGAAATAAAAAATTTTGGATGTCACATCGGATGTTTCGGGAACGTCGGAAGGGGTTTTCGGATACTAATAAAAAAACTAATTACATAGCTCGCCTGGAAACTGCGAGAATTTATTAAGCCTAATTAATCCATCATTAGCGCATGTTAGTACCGTAGCACTTATGGCTAATCATGGACTAATTAGTCTTAAAACATTCGTCTCGTGATTTTCAACCAAACTGTACAATTCATTTTTTTCGTCTATATTTAATACTCCATGCATATGCCGCAAGATTCGATGTGATAGTTTGTGGTGAAAATTTTTGGAAACTAAACCAGGCCTGAGCTGCTAGCCGCGGCCGGGTTCGTTAATTAATGGCCATGTAAAAGGGGCCCAGCAGCCAGCATGCATCAATGGCCATGCAAGATGCATACTCCGTAAGTACGGTATGGCCGTCGTTGCTGGTGCTCGGCGCGGAGACCAAGCCATGGCTGTGCGCTAGCAGCTGAGCGCGTGTACGTACATGCATGGCGCTGAGCGCTAACGTGCGCTACTGCATGCATGCCCTGTGTCTGCTGGCCCGGTAGCGCCGTAGCGGTAAACGGCCGGGGTGCACTGGACCAGCAGGCAGAGCCAGGTGACCTGACCGCATTCAGGCACACGCTGCCCCATCCCACGCATGGATTACTGCGCCGTGCCCCTCGTCGTCGGCTGCACCTCTGCTGGCCTGATGCCATGCGTCGTATATTTTACACTACCCTGCACACATGCTGCTTGCCGTGTGTGATGTGTGTTGTGTGTGGTGTTTGTACGTGCCGTACCGGTGCGCCGCAATTCATGCAATGGAGCTGCTAATAAACATGAAGTGTACGTCGTCCCGCAGCTGGACGTAGCTCCGCAACTGCTGCTCCTCCTCGGGCGACCCGGGGCACCATGGTCTGCAGCGGCGCCAGCGTGGAAGCCATGTAGTCTGGCGCGGATGAAGAATAACCGGACGATGGTGAGGTTGACGCCCGACCGTGTGCTCGACCATACGCCACGAGGCCGATGAGAGGTGCTCTCGTTAACGTGACTGCCGCTCGTCGCGCAGAAGAAGAGCTTGTCGTGGTACGTGCAGGAATGGTCGAGGTCCTGTACGCCTCGGTGCCCCTGTGCCGCCTCCCTGCACGCACGTGCACGCAGCTCGCCGCACAGCGCCGGCGTGCTCTGGCTGAGCGCCTGAGCGCGGCTGAGCGGCAGCCGCTGCATGCTCTGTGGCCTGCTATTAGCTCGATGACATCATCATGACGTCGTGCGTATGTCATATACTTTCTTTTCCTCTTGAAAATAAAACCAAAAATACATGAATACCTTTACTCATCCTCGTCACCACGGCCAAGAAGACGAAAGCAGGAAGCGGAGCACTTGCTAGTGGAGAAGAAGCGGATGACGAGTGCCGTGACACGGTTGTCCGGCTCCGCAGCGCGAGCAGCATGTGCAGTGTCAGCTGGGATAAAGCACAAGGCGGAAGAGCTCGGGGAACACGCGCTCTCGGCAGTGATCGGCGACCTCGGTGGCTCTGGGCTCTCCGGC